TATTTCTTAAACAGGGAACTTAAATATTAAGTTGACCCTATTCCAAATACATTTTTAAAGTATTAAAATGATGAAAGTTATTGTTGTTTTTAAGTGTTTATTAACGAGTGGGAACGACCAACATGGCCGCCATCTATTCAAATGGGGGTAACCGCTGGAATATTCTTGACTTCAGTTTTACTAAAAGAGATGCGCTATCTAGTGTATATAAGATATCTATGCTTCGTTGACTGAACGAAGTATAGGAGCAGGTCCTCCAGTTATTATACAGCTCAGTGGTTCTACTCCTTATTCTGTGCTATTGTGATGTTGCACGTACTTCATGTAATACAAATTATAGAGGTTTTACTGTACATTGAAGCATTGCATGTCAAAGCATTGTATTTTAAAGCAAATTGTGTGGCTTTTTACTCGCTGGGGCACTTTCCCCAGACGAGTATAGGTTTCGGCACGCATGGTGGATGTCAGATTTCCGCCGATAGCCACAAAATAGAATATTAATGAGCTGCCTCATTTTCCCCCAATTATCCACAAGGCTCCTGCCGAATTTACCCAATTATCCATAATTAGCCCTCCTTTTTGAGGAAAATTCGGAAAAATTGAACAATTTTACAAGGAATTTTGCATGGAAACAGCAACCTTCGCAATTCGCAAATCGCAAGTAATACGTTTGACTGGGCAGGTAGTAAAAGAAGGAACACCGGAATGGCGGAATACCGGAATGGCGGAATACCGGAACACCTGAATGCCGGAATACCGGAACACCTGAATGCCGGAACACCGGGATAGTATAGGGAATTTTGTTGCGAGATAGAGACATCGAATTCAAGACGTTGTTATAACATATATGACATTTGGCTGACATATGACAATATCTGGCCTTTACAGAATAAAATAGGGATTTTTACTTGTTGTTTACGTTACGTTGTGACACAAAGTTGTTGTGTTATGTTATGTTTCGGTGACCTACTCAGTAGGCTACTCTGTAGGCTTACAGTAGGCTACTGTAATATTGTCGGTTTCAGGTCACTTTTCAAAACGCGGTTCCGGTTTGTTGTGAATATTCCCATTCAGCTTTTTAAATTTGGAATATTGAGCGTGGAATTACAATTTAAGTTGCTTACTCAAATACCGAAGTACTGAACTGGAATACCGACGTAGCGATCTTAAACTCGTAATTTGCAGTGTTTTACTTATATAGCCAACGAATTAAACGTATTTCTTAAAACTTAATAAATAATTGGGAATTACCAACAAACAAACTAGGGAATCACGCTTTGAGAGGTGATCTGAAATCCACAATAACTAATGTATTGTTTACATTTACTTAATTCAAATTCACGTCGAGACTTTAATTTAAATTAAAAATATAACTGGGATATTAGTTTTATTCACACGAATATATGTATTCTTTCGAGGAAAACAACTTATGAGATGTCTCACAAGAAAATGTTTAGCAAAAACTTGTAATGCAAGTCGTTGCCGACCCAATCGAATTTCAAGTAACACCATTTACATGGTGAAACGTCGCCAAACATTTAGTCCATCACCTAGAAGCCGAAAATTTGAGTCTAATACTCATCTTAGGGGAACAAACGAAACTGATCGCATATGAAAGCTTAGCGTTTTAGCTTTCAAAAAATGTCTTGGCGGACGTTCAGAACGGTAGCTTTCCTATAGAATTTCGACTTTGAAGTGACGTACTTCGAAGCAGTGAACGGCCGCCATTTTGTCTCTCAGAGAAAATCCCGCCTAAAGAATATTAGTTTGATAGTTTATTTGACACTAAAACTTACAGCTCCAGAATATAACTAATTCCACTGCTGAAATATGTTAGGTTTACAAGGATATTAAAACTAATTTTACATGTATTTGTTTAAGAAAGCGAATAAGATTAGACTAAATACTTAAAAATACACATTCACATATATATACTGTATGCGCAGACTTATAATTTGTTACTAAAACACTCACTAATGCTAATTTAGATTAGGTTAAAAACCAGCATATTCGCGTAAAAAACAGTTTCTAAGTTATTCAAAAAACTTATTAGAGTTATAAGTGATAAAACTGTTCCTAAATCTGTTCGTTTTATGAAGTGGCACGTTAAATTTCCTATTTTTACGCAAAAAATGACTATTGTCATTATTTAATGGCGGTAACAAATCCGTTAATTTGTGCTCAGGATTATTGACTACGTCCTTAAAAAGTTTTGTTGTTAATTCCTCTCTTCTATCGTACAGTGATGGGGTGTTCGTGTTCCTCAATGCTTGTTTGTAGTGTTGATCTGGGAATATTATTCGAAAAGCTCGTTTCTGAAGTCTTTCAAGATCATCAGACAGGTATTTGGGTAATGAGTCGTGAAATGCTTGGCACGCATACTCGATGACTGGTCGAATACAGGTGGAGTAGAAAAGGATTAGTCGTTAGCTGGTAATTTCGCTCGTTTTAGTGTCTTAAAAAATATAGACGAGGTGCGACATTTTGATTCGTTTATCTGAAAACCGTTAGCTTTTGATTTCTGGTTAAATTCATCTACGTACTTTTGTAAGTTACTTGGACCATCTCTACAAACTGATTCCGACAAGGATGAGTCGTCAACATATTTCCATAGATCATTAACGTCCTCAACGCTTAGATCATTAATCATAATACAAAATAACCATGGGCCGAGCTTTGTGCCTTGGGGGACGCCGGCTGGGACCTTGCCCCATTCGGAATGGCAATCTTGGGTGAGTTTTACCCTCTGTTCTCGGTCAGTCAGAAAGTCTAAGATCCAAAGCATGACAGACCTCGGTAAGTTATACTTTGTTAACTTCTCCGATAAAATATTGTGGTCTATTAAATCAAATGCTTTACGGAAGTCAAACGTCATAACTCGAGTTGTTGAACCGTTACCATCCGTATCCTTATTCCAAGTGTGTAGCATGCTTATAAGAGCATATGTCGTAAACTATCCGGCACCGTCCAAATTGTTTACTATCGATCAATTCCATCACTGCTGGCTTCACATAAATCATTACAACAAATTCTTCTGCGAGTTTCGATAGAATAGGTGTAAGTGAAATAGGGCGTACTGACATTGATATCCTGGATGGGCTTTTCTTTCGGTATTGGAACTACGTCCGCCTTCTTCCAAACTGGCGGTAGGGTACATTCCCGATATGAACAGTTCAAGATGGCCGCTATCGGACCAGCTAATAGATCTGCGTTTTCTTTTAGGAGCCACGACGGTATGCCATCCGGACCATGAGCTTTTTTGGGATTAAGTTTGAGAAGGTTTTCGAAAACAGCATTCGATGTTACAGTAATTACTGTATCACTTTGTGCAGGTTGGATGAGATGTTGACGAGGTACTGAGGATAGAGAGCCAAAAAGGCATTATTAATCTCGTTGGCTAAATCTCTTTTATCAGAGCTAGAAGGGTCATCTCCTGGTCTCAGAGCTTTCACAATTTCATCTGAGGTTCCCCCGATTACATTCATTCCACTAAGCTTTTTAACCTCTTTCCACCATGCTGATGGTTTACATTGTTTTAAATGGTGAACGCTATTTTCGTAATATTTTGCCCGACAATTTTTTCTTTGGCGGTTGATTTGATTCCTCAGCCTTTTAAATTCTGTAGTTCTTTTCTGATTAAGGGCTTTTTGTCGTTTCCTTATAAGACCTTTCAAAGTTGTGTTCATCCATGGAGGTTCATTTAATCTAACAGTTTTATTACGTAGCGGAATAATTGAATCCAACCATTATTAATTATTGTTTGGAATAAAGATGTTTTTTCTTCACAAGAGTGGCCTGTGTTAAGCAAGGTGGGAATGTCTACCATCTCTATATATTTCCTTACAGCAAGGCGGGAACTAGGTCTCAAGTCTCTCACCTTTACTGATGCTGTTGATGTTCCTTGAACTTTTGATCGTTTAATTGGTCTAATCTCAATGGTCAGACATATTTCTTGGTCGTGCTGACGGTTGGGGTTTAAGGATGTAGAAAGTCACAACTTGTTCCTTTCAGACAAAAACCTCTTTTCTTCAAAAACGGACACGGCACTTCACTTTTGAGCAACTCATTTTTTTCTCTGCCAGTGTTTTGGTGAGAATAATCGCATTTGCTTGCTTTTACACACCAACCCCTTCCAAACAAATATGGGCACGGGATCAAGCTTTTTCGAGTTTGCTGGAACAATTCCTTAGGCGTTTTATTATTTGTAGTCAATTTTCCTATTTCATGTAATTGTTCTCGGCGGCGGGATGATGATTTCTCAACAGATAAATTGATTACATTAGCCGACTCACTGACGTTATTTTCGTGATACTGATTACTAGTACGAGTGGAAGGTTCGTCTTCTTTGTTAATTACGCTAGCGGGATTGAGGGCTTTGTTCTCAACATCACTCAGTTGCGGTTCATCTAAAAGAATTAGTGAATCGCCTGATGCGCAGTCTTTGTTCTCTGGAATTGGTTGTTTACAATAGAGGGTGATTTACAAACGTTGTTAGCAAAGCTAATTGTACCACCATTATTGTTTTCCTGATTGTTATGAGATGCGGCTGGGATTAAATTTATAAAAGATTGTAATTTCGACTTAAAAAATGTATTATCCTCGTAAAGTTTGCATATAATTTCATCTTGTTTTCGGATAGTGGCCTCAATATCCCGTTGCTTATTTTGGATTAAAATTAGTTCTGAAAGTATCTCGTCGCTCGGGTTAGCCAAGTTAAGACGTGATTCTAGGATTGCTATATCCAATTTCAAACCTTCCAAGCCAGCTACGGCAACTCCGCCCGAGCATTTACAACTACAGCTACACGGCCCCGATGATTTAAGAGCGTCATCTTTGTTTGCATGCAATTCGCCTTCACTTACTTGCTTACCAACAGACAAGTTCATAAGTTTCGCCTCTAGATAGTGATCACAGCTATCAACTTCAATCGTAAGCTTCTGTGAACGTGGGCCATACCATTTAATAGCGAAATCAGAAGCCTCAGCGGTAAATAGTTTAACATGACCACCAGGTGAAGTCCATTCCCCTTTAATTTGTAGATACTTATTAACGAATTCCTTTAACTCGATAAGGGAACCAGTCCATCGATATTTATCGCCATCATACAATAGCTTAATGTTCGCAGTTGTCGTCAGCAAGTTATTCATTATACGTTGTAGTTTTAATATAAATTCAATATAATATAGCGATTCATTTGACGTTTGTCAGTGCTTGCGAAAAATCAGCCAAAATCAAGGTTCCTCACGCTGAGGACAATGTTCCTTACGCTGAGGACAAGGTTGCTCACGCTGAGGACAAGGTTCCTCACGCTGAGGACAAGGTTCCTCATGCTGAGGACAAGGTTCTTCACGCTGAGGACAAGGTTCCTAACGCTGAGGACTAGGCTCCTCACGCTGAGGACAAGGTTCCTCACGCTGAGGACAATGTTCCTCACGCTGAGGACAAGGGACCTCACGCTGAGGACAAGGTTCCTCACGCTGAGGACAAGGTTCCTCACGCTTAGGACAAGGTTTCTCACGCTGAGGACAAGGTTCCTCACGCTGAGGACAAGGCTCCTCACGCTGAAGACAAGGTTGCTCACGCTGAGGACAAGGTTCCTCACGCTGAGAAAAGGTTTCTAACGCTGAGGACAAGGTTCCTCACGCTGAGGACAAGGTTCTTCACGCTGAGGACAAGGTTCCTCACGCTGAGGACAAGGTTCCTCACGCTGAGGACAAGGTTCCTCACACTGAGGAAAAGGTTCCTCACACTGAGGAAAAGGTTCCTCACGCTGAGGACAAGGTTCCTCACGCTGAGGAGAAGGATCCTCACGCTGAGGACAAGGTTCCCCACGCTGAGGACAAGGTTCCTCACGCTGAGGACAAGGTTCGTCACGCTGAAGACAAGGTTCCTCATGCTGAGGACAAGGCTCCTCACGCTGAGGAGAACGTTTCTCACGCTGACGAGAAGGTTCCTCACGCTGATGAAAGGCTCCTCACGCTGAGGAGAAGGTTCCTCACGCTGAGGAGAAGGATCCTCACGCTGAGGAGAAGGATCCTCACGCTGAGGACAAGGTTCCCCACGCTGAGGACAAGGTTCCCCACGCTGAGGACAAGGTTCCTCACGCTGAGAACAAGGTACCTCAAGCTGAGCACATGGTTCCTGACGCTGAGGAAAGGTTCCTCACGCTGAGGACAAAGTTCTTCAAGCTGAGGACAAGTTTCCTCACGCTGAGGATAAGGTTGCTCACGCTGATGAAAGGTTCCTCACGCTGAGGGCAAGGTTCCTCACGCTGAGGACAAGGTTCCTCACGCTGAGGACAAGGTTCTTGACGCTGAGCACAAGGTTCCTCACGCTGAGAACAACGTTCCTCACGCTGAGCACAAGGTTCTTCACGCTGAGGACAAGGTTCCCCACGCTGAGGACAAGGCTCCCGACGCTGAGGACAAGTTTCCTCACGCTGAGGACAAGGTACCTCAAGCTGAGCACATGATTCCTGACGCTGAGGAAAAGTTCCTCACGCTGAGGACAAGGTTCTTCACGCTGAGGACAAGTTTCCTCACGCTGAGGATAAGGTTCCTCACGCTGATGATAGGTTCCTCACGCTGAGGACAAGGTTCCTCACGCTGAAGACAAGGTTCGTCACGCTGAGGACAAGGTTCTTGACGCTGAGGACAAGGTTCGTCACGCTGAGAACAACGTTCCTCACGCTGAGCACAAGGTTATTCACGCTGAGGACAAGGTTCCGCACGCTGAGGACAAGGTTCCCCACGCTGAGGACAAGGTTCCCCACGCTGAGGACAAGGTTCCTCACGCTGAGGACAAGGTTCCGCACGCTGAGGACAAGGTTCTTGACGCTTAGCACAAGGTTCCTCACGCTGAGAACAACGTTCCTCACGCTGAGCACAAGGTTCTTCACGCTGAGTACAAGGTTCCCCACGCTGAGGACAAGGCTCCCGACGCTGACGACAAGTTTCCTCACGCTGAGGACAAGGTACCTCAAGCTGAGCACATGGTTCCTGACGCTGAGGAAAGGTTCCTCACGCTGAGGACAAGGTTCTTCACGCTGAGGACAAGTTTCCTCACGCTGAGGATAAGGTTCCTCACGCTGATCATAGGTTCCTCACGCTGAGGACAAGGTTCCTCACGCTGAGGACAAGGTTCCTCACGCTGAGGACAAGGTTCTTGACGCTGAGGACAAGGTTCTTCACGCTGAGAACAACGTTCCTCACGCTGAGCACAAGGTTATTCACGCTGAGGACAAGGTTCCGCACGCTGAGGACAAGGTTCCCCACGCTGAGGACAAGGTTCCCCACGCTGAGGACAAGGTTCCTCACGCTGAGGACAAGGTTCCGCACGCTGAGGGCAAGGTTCCTCACGCTGAGGACAATGTTCCTCACGCTGATGACAAGGTTCGTCACGCTGAGGACAAGGTTCCTCACGCTGAGGACAAGGCTCCTCACGCTGAGGAGAACGTTCCTCACGCTGACGACAAGGTTCCTCACGCTGATGAAAGGCTCCTCACGCTGAGGAGAAGGTTCCTCACGCTGAGGAGAAGGATCCTCACGCTGAGGACAAGGTTCCCCACGCTTAGGACAAGGTTCCCCAAGCTGAGGACAAGGTTCCTCACGCTGAGGACAAGGTAGCTCAAGCTGAGCACATGGTTCCTGACGCTGAGGAAAGGTTCCTCACGCTGAGGACAAGGTTCTTCACGCTGAGGACAAGTTTCCTCACGCTGAGGATAAGGTTGCTCACTCTGATGAAAGGTTCCTCACGCTGAGGACAAGGTTCCTCACGCTGAGGACACGGTTCCTCACGCTGAGGACAAGGTTCTTGACGCTGAGGACAAGGTTCCTCACGCTGAGGACAAGGTTCCACACGCTGAGCACAAGGTACTTGACGCTGAGGACAAGGTTCCTCACGCTGAGGAAAGGTTCCTCACGCTGAGGACAAGGTTCCCCACACTGAGGACAAGGTTCCTCACGCAGAGGACAAGGCTCCTCACGCTGAGGACTAGGTTCCTCACGCTGAGGACAAGGATCCTCACTCACGCTGAGAAAATGTTCCTCACAGTGAGGTCAAGGCTCGTCACGCTGAGGACAAGGTTCCTCACGCTGAGGACAAGGTTGCTCACGCTGAGGAAATGTTCCTTACGCTGAGGACAAGGTTCCTCAAGCTGAGGTCAAGAATCCTCACGCTGAGGACAAGGTTCCTCACGCTGAAGACAAGGTTCGTCACGCTGAGGAAAGGTTCCTCACGCTGAGGACAAGGTTCCTCACGCAGAGGACAAGGCTCCTCACGCTGAGGACAAGGTTCCTCATGCTAAGGACAAGGTTCCTCACGCTGAGGACAAGATTCCTCACGCTGAGGACAAGGTTCCTCACGCTGAGGACAAGGTTCCTCACGCTGAGGACAAGGTTCCTCACGCTGAGGACAAGTTTCCTCATGCTGAGGGAAGGTTCCTCACGCTGACGACAAGGTTGCTCACGCTGAGGAAATGTTCCTCACGCTGAGGACAAAGTTCCCTCGCTGAGGACATGGTTCCCCACGCTGAGGACAAGGTTCCTCAAGCTGAGGACAAGGTTCCTCACGCTGTGGACAAGGTTGCTCACGCTGAGGAAATGTTCCTCACGCTGAGGACAAGGTTCCTCACGCTGAGGTCAAGATTCCTCACGCTGAGGACAAGGTTCCTCACGCTGAAGACAAGGTTCGTCACGCTGAGGAAAGGTTCCTCACGCTGAGGACAAGGTTCCTCACGCAGAGGACAAGGTTCCTCATGCTGAGGACAAGGTTCCTCACGCTGAGGACAAGGTTCCTCACGCTGAGGACAAGGTTCCTCACGCTGAGGACAAGGTTCCTCACGCTGAGGACAAGTTCCTCACGCTAAGGACAAGGTTCCTCAAGCTGAGGACAAGGTTCCTCACGCTGAGGACAAGGTTCCTCGCGCTGAGGACAAGGTTCTCTCACGCTGAGGACAAGGTTCCTCACGCTGAGGACAAGGTTCCTCACGCTGAGGACAAGGTTCCTCAAGCTGAGGAAAATTTCCTCAAGCTGAGGACAAGGTTCTTCACGCTGAGGACAAGGTTCCTCACGCTGAGGAAAGGTTCCTCACCTTGAGGACAAGGTTCCTCACAGTGAGGACAACGTTCGTCACGATGAGGAAAGGTTCGTCACGCTGAGGACAAAGTTCCTCACGCTGAGGACAAGGTTCCTCACGCTGACGACAAGTTTCCTCACGCTGAGGAAAGGTTCCTCACGCTGAGGACAAAGTTCCTCACGCTGAGGACATGGTTCCCCACGCTAAGGACAAGTTTCCTCACGCTGAGGACAAGGTTCCTCAAGCTGAAGACAAGGTTCCTCACGCCGAGGAAAGGTTCCTCACGCTGAGGACAAGGTTTTTCATGGTTAGGACAAGGTTCCTCACGCTAAGTATAAGGTTCCTCACGCTGAGGAAAGGTTCCTCACGCAGAGGACAAGATTCCTCACGCTGAAGACAAGGTTCCTCCCGCTGAGGACAAGGTTCCTCACGCTGAGGACAAGGTTCCTCAAGCTGAGGACAAGGTTCCTCACGCCGAGGAAAGGTTCCTCACGCTGAGGACAAGGTTTTCATGCTTGGGACAAGGTTCCTAACGCTGAGGATAAGGTTCCTCACGCTGAGGAAAGGTTCCTCACGCTGAGGACAAGATTCCTCACGCTGAAGACAAGGTTCCTCACGCTGAGGACAAGATTCCTCACGCTGAAGACAAGGTTCCTCACGCTGAGGACAAGGTTCCTCACGCCGAGGAAAGGTTACTCACGCTGATAACAAGGTTTCTCACGCGGAAGACAAGGTTCCTCACGCTGAGGATAAGGTTCCTCACGCTGAGGAAAGGTTCCTCACGCTGAGGACAAGGTTCCTCACGCCGAGGAAAGGTTCCTCACGCTGAGGACAAGGTTTTCATGCTGGGAACAAGGTTCCTCACGCTGAGGACAAGGTTCCTCACGCTGAGGAAAGGTTCCTCACGCTGAGGACAAGGTTCCTCACGCTGAGGACAAGGTTCCTCACGCTGAGGACAAGATTCCTCACGCTGAGGACAAGGTTCCTCACGCTGAGGACAAGGTTCCTCACGCCGAGGAAAGGTTACTCACGCTGATAACAAGGTTTTTCATGCTGGAAACAAGGTTCCTAACGCTGAAGGATAAAAGGTTCCTCACGCTGAGGAAAGGTTCCTAACGCTGAAGACAAGGTTCCTCACGCTGAGGAAAGGTTCCTCACGCTGAGGACAAGATTCCTCACGCTGAGGACAAGGTTCCTCACGCTGAGGACAAGGTTCCTCACGCTGAGGACAAGGTTCCTCACGCTGAGGACAAGGTTCTTCACGCTGAGGACAAGGTTCCTCACGCTGAGGACAAGGTTCCTCACGCTGAGGAAAGGTTCCTCACGCTGAGGACAAGGTTCCTCACGCTGAGGACAAGGTTCCTCAAGCTGAGGAAAGGTTCCTCACGCTGAGGACAAGGTTCCTTACGCTGAAGACAAGGTTCCTCACGCTGAGGACAAGGTTCCTCACGCTGAGGACAAGGTTCCTCACGCTGAGAACAAGGTTCCTCACGCGTGAGGACAAGGTTCCTCACGCTGAGGAAAGGTTCCTCACGCTGAGGACAAGGTTCCTCACGCTGAGGAAAGGTTCCTCACACTGAGGACAAGGTTCCTCACGCTGAGGACAAGGTTCCTCACGCTGAGGACAAGGTTCCTCACGCTGAGGACAAGGTTCCTCACGCTGAGGACAAGGTTCCTCACGCTGAGGACAAGGTTCGTCACGCTAAGGAAAGGTTTCTCAGGCTGAGGACAAGGTTCTTCACGCTGAGGACAAGGTTCTTCACGCTGAGGACAAGGTTCCTCACGCTGAGGACAAGGTTGCTCACGCTGAGGACAAGGTTCCTCACGCTGAGGACAAGGTTCTCACGCTGAGGACAAGGTTCCTCACGCTGAGGACAAGGCTTCTCACGCTGAGGACAAAGGTTCCTCACGCGGAGGACAAGGTTCCTCTCGTTGAGGAAAGGTTCCTCACGCTAAGGACAAGGTTCCTTACGCTGAGGACAAGGTTCCTCACGTAGAGGACAAGGCTCCTCACGCTGAGGACAAGGTTCCTCACGTAGAGGACAAGGCTCCTCACGCTGAGGACAAGGTTCCTCATGCTGAGGACAAGGTTCCTCATGCTGTGGAGAAGGTTCCACAAGCTGAGGACAAGGTTTCTCACGCTGAAGACAAGGTTCCTCACGCTGAGGACAAGGTTCCTCACGCTGAGGACAAAGTTCCTCACGCTGAGGACAAGGTTCCTCACGCTGAGGACAAGGTTCCTCACGCTGAGGACAAGGTTTCTCATGCTGAGGAAAGGTTCGTCACGCTGAGGACAAGATTCCGCACGTTGAGGACAAGGTTCGTCACGCTGAGGACAAGGTTCGTCAAGCTGACGACAAGGTTCCTCACGCTGAGAACAAGGTTCCTCACGCTGAGGACAAGGTTCCTCACGCTGAGAACAAGGTTCCTCACGCTGAGGACAAGGTTCCTCACGCTGAGGACAAGGTTCCTCACGCTGAGGACAAGGTTCTTCACGCTGAGGACAAGGTTCCTCACGCTGAGGAGAAGGTTCCTCATGCTGAGGACAAGGTTCCTCACGCTGAGGACAAGGTTCCTCACGCTGAGGACAAGGTTCCTCACGCTGAGGACAAGGTTCCTCACGCCGAGGACAAGGTTCCTCACGCCGAGGACAAGGTTCCTCACGCTGAGGACAAGGTTCCTCACGCTGAGGACAAGGTTCCTCACGCTGAGGACAAGGTTCCTCATGCTGAGGACAAGATTCCTCACGTTGAGGACAAGGTTCGTCACGCTGAGGACAAGGTTCCTCACGCTGAGAACAAGGTTCCTCACGCTGAGGACAAGGTTCCTCACGCTGAGGACAATGTTCCTCACGCTGAGAACAAGGTTCCTCACGCTGAGGACAAGGTTCGTCACGCTGAGGACAAGGTTCCTCTCGCTGAGGACAAGGTTCCTCACGCTGACGACAAGGTTCCTCACGCTGACGACAAGGTTCCTCACGCTGAGGAAAGGTTCCTCACGCTGAGGACAAGGTTCCTCACGCTGAGGACAAGGTTCCCCACGCTGAGGACAAGGTTCTTCACGCTGAGGACAAGGTTCCTCAAGCTGAGGACAAGGTTCCTCACGCTAAGGACAAGGTTCCTCACGCTGAGGACAAGGTTCCTCACGCTGAGGACAAGGTTCCTCACGCTGAGGACAAGGTTTCTCACGCTGAGGACAAGGTTCCTCACGCTGACGACAAGGTTCCTCACGCTAGTAGTGGCAACTAGACGATCCAGGCCATCTTAGGTCATATACTTCATGTAATAGAAAATATAGTGTCTTCAGCCCTTTTAGCCCTTTTAGCCCCTTTAGCCCCTTCAATCCCTTTACCCCCTTCATCTCCTTTAGCCCTTTTTAGCCCTTTCAGCCCCTTTAGCCCTTTTAGCCCCACAGCCTTTTAAACTTTTCAAAAAAACTTTCCCGAGTCTTTTCCCAGATATTTTCAAAAAAAAGGTCCCCAAAACTTTTTTTTTTCACTCGAGATTATATATATTTTTTCGAAAACCTTCCACAAGTGTTTTTTCAAAAATAATGTCCTCGTGGATGGAAATTGCGAAAGGACCCTCACATCTATTTATAGGAATGAGTTTTGAGAATAAAATGGTGTTACCTGAATTTTTGGAGCGGAAGAGATCATTGATCATGATGCAAAAGAGTGGTGATCAGAGTTTTAAATGTGCGGTGACGCGTGCTTTGAATCTTATCAAGAAAGATCCGGGAAGGATTACAAATTTGCTTCGTACCCAAGCAGAGAAACTAAATTGGGAAAACGTTATGTTTCCAACACCACCGAAAAACATTCGTACGTTTGTAAACGATAACGGGATAGGTTTAAATATAATCGGTCTGTCGGGTGATAAAATTACAGCATTAAGGGTGGCGGGATGGAGTTACGAAAGGATCATAACGTTATTTTATCACGATGGTGTATATTATCCAGTAAGGAACGTCAGCCGCCTATGGACGAGTCAGATAAGCAAGAATCCGAAGTCTAGAATATTCTGTGATCGATGTCTGATATCTTTCAACAGTCAGAAAGGATTTGACAGGCATCTTCGTGTCTGTTGTTATCCACCATCAGCACCAGGGTATAATTCGTGGGAGGTATACAAGTTTAATGCTAAATTTTTGTTTAAGGGTGGTGTTAGGATGTTACGTGTAGAGCGAGAACTTGTCTTTTACAAGGAACCGCTTCCTGTATTTAATAAGACAACGACAGAAATGATCGTGGATTTTGCACAGGAAGTATTTGTGTCAAGTCTGATTAAAAAAAATAAATAAATTTTTTTTCACCAGACCTTATATAAATAAAAGAGTACAAATAAAAAAGGAAAAATCCGGAACAGGTCTTACTATTTACCACTTTTCCATACTCGTTCGGAGTATGGAAATTTTTTTTTCATATAATAAAATGGTAAAGAGTAGACCTGTTCCGGATACCTATATGTTAGATTTTAACGAACCGAGAAAAGATTTTACAATTGTTTCACGAGGGAAAGACGTTAAGAACAGAAAAAGAGATTAACGATCATTTTGACGAACTTGTACGAAAAGAAAAGCGGAAGATCATCGGAAAGGAGATTAAGTTTACGGCGAAAGAATTTAGGGATCGACGAAAACAAAGTGAGAAAGAGACGAGATGGAAATTTCGCGATGAGGGAAGATGGGAAAAAGATATTGCAAAGGAGGAGAAAAGACGTCGTAAGCAAGTGTCCTATTGGAAATCCGAAGCCCAAAAATGGAAGAAGGAAACACAAAGACTTCGTAAGAATGCAAAAGCACGTCAAAAGTATGCGGAAGTCCGTTATCGTAAATTAATGTCGGGCGAGATGAAAATTCGCGGCGAAGATTTTACACCGGTTTTAAAACAACATGCATTTCAGAAAAAGGCGAAGGAATATACGATCACACCGAAAAAGGTGTACGATCCACCTTATTTTTTAGATATGACCGGCCGTTATGTTTGTGATCTTGTAGATTCGATCGACGGATCAAAAAATGTACGAGTGTGTTTAGTCTGTATTATGAAGAAAGTGAACGGAATTACAGGGGAAGTGACGAGAGACTTGTCCCATTTTTCATCGAAAACATATAAGATCACGGGACGAAGTTTAAAGGATGGGACCTGGGACGAGATGAAAGAGAAGATATTAGAATCTTTTGCAAAATATCAACGAAACGGTAGTAATTGGACGTTGGAAAAAATAGTTCGGTTGGATATTAGTATTGACGAATACGATCCGACCCGCGGTTCTGGATTTGTTCAAATGCCGAAAGAATATACAAAAGGTAAGGGAATCATCAACATGCAAAATACCGACAATCAATGTTTTAAATGGGCGATCACACGTGCATTAAACCCTGTGAAAAAGAATCCTGCTTACATTACAAAAATTCTTCGTCTTCAGGCAGAGAAATTAAACTAGACTGGTATAAATTTCCCGACCGAGAAAAAAGATGTTATTAAATTCGAGAAACAAAATTCTGGTATTCATATCAATGTTTTTGCATTCGACGACTCTTTAAAAATTTATCCGTGGTATATTTCGGGAAGCTCGGATTCTGTCAACTTAGTATTATGGAACGATCATTTTGGCGTCGTCACGGATTTATCAAAATTTATGGGAAAACAGTTGAGTAAAAACCAGCATAAGAAACACATTTGTAACAACTGTTTGAATCCGTTCGGATCCGAAAAGCTATTGGGAGAACATCGAAAGTTATGTTTGGATCATGAGGCACAAACGTGTTTGTATCCAAAAAAGGGTAAATTTTTAAAATTTGTGAATTACCATAGGATTCACAACGTTCCGTTTAAGGTGTATGCAGACACGGAATCTTTATTAAAACCTATTCCTCACGACGAGAAGGAAGATTTAAATTTTTCGAGTACGAAAAAAACACAAAAACACGAGGCGTGTAGTTTTGCGTATCTGATTAAATGTTTCGACGACGAGATTTATCCTCCGAAATACGTAAGTTACACGCAGCAATACGAGGGTGAAGACGTGATGGCAAAATTTTACGAGTTGTTAGAGGCAGATACAAAAGAGATCTACGAAAGATTTAAATTTCCCGTTCCGATTCGAATGGAACCGGACGACGTCGAAGATTTTGTAATGTCCTAATCATGTTATGCATGTTATGGTTCGTTTACGAAGAAAAACTGGAAGGTGAAGGATCATTGTCATTACACGGGCACGTACCGTGGCGCGGCATGTAACCGATGTAATTTGGCAATGAAGAACCCGACTTTTATACCGGTCTTTTTTCATAATTTGGCAGGATACGATGCGCATCACGTTGTGAAATGTTTTGGAGCAAGTGAAGGTGATGTCGACTGTATCGCACAGACGTCTGAAAAGTATATTTCGTTTACAAAGAAAGTGGTGGTTGGAACATACATCTGTAAAGTAAAAAAGAAGGATGGAAGTATCGTTGAAGAAACACGTGACATTTATCGTAGATTACGGTTTTTGGACTAGTTCAAATTTATGCCGTCGTCGTTAGGAAATCTTGCAAAAGATTTGGAAGAGGATGATTTTAAGTTAACGGATAAGATGATGGGAAATTACACGTCAGATCAACATCGAATGTTAAAACGGAAAGGTGTTTATCCGTACGAATGGATGAACAATTTCCAGAAATTTTCCGAACCGTTCCTTCCACCGCAAGAAGAATTTTACAGTAGTTTGACTGATGAAGATATTATGGAAGTGGATTACGTGCATGCACAGAAAGTATGGAAGTCGTTCGAGATGAAAACCATGCGTGATTATCACGATCTTTATTTAAAAGTGGACGTGTTGTTGTTGGCAGACATCATGGAAAGAGTTCATCGGATCTGTATGGAGAATTACAAGTTGGATCCTGCATGGTATTATACGTCGCCGGGATTGGCATGAGATGCATATCTGAAAATGACACGAATCCGTCTGGATTTAATTTCCGATCCGACCATGTTTAATTTTGTTGAAAAAGCGAAGCGTGGTGGAATTAGCATGATCAGTCAAAGATATGCCGTCGCGAATAATAAGTATACGAAAGATTTTGATCCTGGAAAGGAAAGTACATTTTTACCCTACTTGGATGCAAATAATTTATACGGTTGGGCCATGTGTGAAAAACTTCCTTACGGGAATTTCGAATGGATGAATTTAGATCGGTTGAAAAAATGGGATCGTCTTCCACGCGGAAAAGGTTGTTTTATCGAAGTGGATTTAAAATATCCGGAAAAATTACATGATTTACACAGCGAATATCCGTTAGCCCCGGAACGTCTTCGGATTGGAAAGGTGGATAAACTCGTTCCAAATTTGAACGATAAGAAAAAATACATCGTTCATCACGCGGCGTTAAAAAAATACGTGGAATTAGGATTGATTGTGACGAAAATTCATCGCGGTCTGATGTTTTCGGAAAAGGCATGGATGGCAGATTATATCCGATTGAATACCGACTTGCGTCAAAAAGTTAAGTCTGATTTCGAAAGTGGTTTTTTCAAGTTGATGAATAATTCGGTGTTCGGGAAGACGATGGAAAATGTTCGTAATCGTATCAACGTGAAGCTCGTTAACAGTGAAAAGAAGTGGAATAAACTAGTAAAAAAAAGTTATTACGTCTCAACAGACATTTACACTGAGCACTTAGCGTTGGTTCACATGCGAAGGACTATCGTTCATCTAACAAAACCTACCTATGTAGGTGTTGCCGTCTTGGATATTAGCAAGACGTTGATGTATGACTTCCATTACAACTACATAAAGAAAAAATACGGAGAGAGAGCAAAACTTCTTTTCACGGATACGGATTCACTTCATTACGAAATAACGACCGATGATTTTTTCAAAGATATTGCACCTGACGTTTTGAGGAAATTCGACACGAGTAATTTTCCAAAATCTCATCCGTCTGGAATTCCATGTGGGAAAAACAAGAAGGTTATCGGTATGATGAAATCCGAAACGGGTGTAAAACAGATTAAAGAATATGCAGGATTACGTCCAAAATAATATTCGACGCTCGGTGACGATGAAAAGGAGACGAAAAAATGCAAGGGTGTTAAAAAATATGTCGTGAAAAAAGATTTGACGCATCAGGATTTTAAAGATGTTTTATTCGATGGAATGGACAAACGTGTAGGCATGACGACCCTTCGTAGTCACAAACATGTGATTTATACCGAACGTTTGGTAAAAGCGGCACTTTCTGCCAACGATGACAAACGGTATATTTTAGACGATAAAATTCATACGTTGGCGTTAGGTCATAAAGACATTCCCGTGTCTAAACGTACGTTACCAAAGATTGATCTGAAGTATGAAGGATATTGTGAATTTCCTTCTGCTTCGGAATTAGAAGAACTGGAAAAGGGACGGGAAGAAGCGGAGGTGGAAGAAGCGGAGGTGGAAGAAGCGGAAGAAGTATCAGTGGAAAAACCGAAGGAAAAACCAAAAGGACTTACACTTGGGATGATGAAAAAAGACAACCCGAATCCATGCACTATTTCATAAACATTTTTAAACAAGACTTGGTAGAATCTTTTAACAGAATTCAAGATTATTCTGAAGTTTCTTGCAAGCAAGACTTGGTAAGACCTTTCAACAGAATTCAAGACTGTTCTGTAAGATCTCACGAGCAAAACTCTAGTAAATTTTAAGTCCGTCCTGTAAAATCTTGCAAGTAGATTTTAAGTAGACCCGAGCAAATTTTTAAGCAGACTTGGTAAAATTTTTTTAAAACGTATAATAAAGAAAATGACAGAACCGGCGAACGTTACCAAACCTTCGGAGAGTTTACGAAGAGCTGCTATGGGAAAAGTACTGCTGGCGATGAGTCAGTTGGCGAAAGCAAGGAAAAAACTATATATGATCGATAGACAGAATGAGTAATTTTTTAGCATTTCCTTTACATACAATAAAGAAAATGACAGAACCGATAGATAACCCAGGTCCAACCCCCGATGTTACAACCGGACCCCCGAAAAAAGTTAAAGATCCACGCAGAGTTGCACAGGGAAAAAGACTGGCGGCGATTAGTCAGCAGGCGAAAAAAGCAAAAAAAGCAAAGGAGGAGGAAAATCTAAAAGCAAAAGTTCGTGAAGAATATACGATGAATGAAAGCGGCTGGATTTCCGTCGAAAGATTATGTTTGGTTTTAGGCGTAGGAATCGGGTTGGGATCATTGTATTTAACGTGGCGTCGTGAAAAAAGCCCCGTGAAACGGGACGATGAAATTATGTATGAGAATAACAATGATGTAGAAAAAGATCCTCCGAAAGAACCGTTCGACGATTTGTTTGATTAGGATTTTACAAAACACAATCGAGATATCATACCGCACGAATCATTTCATAAAGTATAGGAAAGATGAGAATACATATCTTGGAAAACTCGGCGCTGATTGGAAATAATAAAATTACTATTATTCCGCTCGATAACGATACGTTCTATTTTGCGGCGAAGGAATTGACACTTGCCCTTGGATACGCTAATTCGTGCAATGCTGTCACTACTTATACGGACAAGGAGCATAGAATCAGGCTTAGAGAAATGAAAAAGATTCCGAAACAGGATCTTTTTTATGTACCCGGTGGTTAACACTCCGACAGGGTTTTTCTGACCGAAGCTGGTGTATACAGTCTTATATTTGGTTCTAAGCTAGAAGCTGCTAAGAAAGTTAAGCGGTGGGTATTTGAATACGTCCTCCCCTCTATTCGAAAAACTGGCAAGTACGAACTGCCCAGCACCACAACCGACATCAACACAAGAGACAGGGAATTATTCGAACTCGTTAAAGATGGGCAGAAGGTTGAAGCTGGAAGGAAGGGCGGAAAGTCTGTTCAAGAAAGGAACAGACAAACCAGAACGAAACTGTCTAAAAGTAATCAACTAATCCTTGGTCTCGAATGTTTACTAGACGAACGGGACGAAAAAGTATTAAGTCTTACGGACGAGGTAAATACACTTAGGAGGAATCTGGAATATGCCGAACAGGAACTTTTAGAGCTGGAGGAACTGTATCGGATGTAGATACGAGAACCAAGTTTATGGATATCCATTCCGTCGTGATTCACGACGGAACGGACTTAACCAGCGGTGTACGAGCTGACACTGTACTTATTAACGAACACGACATCTATGATCTCATTCGACGAGGATCTGTCAACGTCTTATGGAAAACTTTATGCGGTAATAAAAGAGAATGAGTATCCACATCCACGGAAACTGCGCGTTGATCGGAGACAGGAGGATTTCCATCCTCGAGTCTGACGACGGTACAATCTATTTTGCAGCGAAGGAATTAGCGCTTGCACTTGGATACGTCAGACCGAACGAAGCCGTCACCACCAACACGAGAGAAAGAATGAGAACAACGCTCGGAGAAATAAGGGGTACGGTTACAAACCGTACCCCTTATGATGTGCGCGGTGGTGAAGAGCCTAATACAGTTTTTATTACCGAATCCGGTCTGTACAGACTCCTCATGAAATCTAGATTACCGATTGCCGAAGAATTCCAGGACTGGATATCCGAAGACGTTCTTCCCTCCATTCGAAAGACTGGGAAATATGTGATACCCGGAGCCATGAAAGCTATCGATAACATAAAGGTTGAAGAACTATGTGAACTTACGGGGGAAGATCGGAAGGAAGCACGAAAAAAACTTGTAAACATGAGCGATAAACTCAAGGATCCTGAAAAAGTCGAACTTGGAAAAAAGGGAGGGGAATCAACCCAGAGAAAAATTAGGGAGACCAAAGAGAAACTGGAGAAAAAAGAAGACGAAATCATAAAACTTAAGATCGAAGTGTCATATCTGAAAGGTAAATTAGACGGACTCGAAGTAGAATAAAATTTTTTTTATTTCCCCAAGAAATAAAAGAATGTCTGATACAACTAAAAAAGAACTCGTTCAGGATTTATACGATGCTGCACTTTTAACGTCCGGAGTCGTTGGGATTTCATACGCAGCTAAAATGATCGCTGGGAAAAGTCTGGGTGCACCGATGACGTTAGAAGGAGCGATGAAACTGGGTGTTGCCGTTGCAGGAAGTTCCTTTGCCGTTGCATATCTCAAAGACAAAGGCTACGTTCCCAAAACAATCGGTCAATAATAAACGATGACAACGAATTTAGTGGTCGGTGGACTTTTTAATGCGGTCGCTTTCGCAGGTGCAGGATTTTTATTCAGTCACTTAAATCAAAACGGGTACAAAGAAGAAGTTCGAAGACATAATCGTGCGTTGGAAGAATTAGCGGCGGCAAAAGAAAAATTTTACGAATCCGAAGTCAAAAGACGGAATCAGGAATTACGACGACGTCAAGAAATCTTAGACGCGAATCATGATATCGAAGAGACGAATAAAGCGTTAGACGAATTAAGAAATTATAATCGTCGACAATACTTGAATGCATTAGATCGTAAACCTAAATTCGAAGATTATTATCAACCGTCGGATGAAATGCAAAAATATTTAACGATGACGGTTGGAATTCTAGGAGTGGGTGGTGGTTATGTACTGACGCGAATTTTTTAAGCTGTAAAAACTTAAAAAATTTTCTAAGTCGTAGTAACGAAAAAACATTTTAAATCTGTTGCTTCCGTCCGGTTGGTTACTTTTCCCGTCGAACTTACATTCTTAAATTCTAGTCCGATCACTAATATTTTGTTACTACCGTACGCAAACATGAACGTCGTACGAACGATTGCACTTCGTGTTGTTACTGCGTTTATAACAACGTTACCACCACTTCCATCGAAAAATCCGTAGAGGGGTGAATAGGCTCTGGAATTTATTTCGTGTCCACCTACACCGAAAGTGATAAATTTTGCTTTCTTCCGGTCGGTCATAGAAATTATACCAGTTTCGTAAAACCCCGGAACACCGATCATTTGTGGAACGTCGTACTGAACGTAATTTTTTCCAAGATCGTTTAGTTCACCGATCGCACTCACATTTTTTACGATCTCGGCCGTATTCGCCTGCTGTGTCTCTTCGATCTCCATAACTTTTTTCTTCAAGTCTTCGGATTCGTCAAAGTAGTCGTATCCCATCAGTATACTCATTTATTATTTCCATAGAAAGTAAGCTGCTCCCATCGAAACAATGGTCACAATTCCCAAAGTGGAAGGACTTTGTGAATTTTTTACGGGACTAGTTGGTTTCACAGGATTTTTCACGGGACTTGTTGGTTTCACAGGATTTTTCACAGGACTTATCGGTTTCGCAGGATTTTTCACAGGACTTGTTACAGGATTTTTCACGGGACTTGTTGGTTTTTTCACAGGAGTCTCTGTAAAATTCACCTTATCATTTTTTCCAAAACTCATCCCGCTTTTAGCCAACGTTAAAATATTGTTGTAGCCTTTCAATGGTTTTTGTAAAATTCGCATGTCGGACGGAATGAGAATCCGGCATGATTGCAAAATTTAACACGACGTTTGTATCTGCGATCGCCGTACGCATGTTGCGAATGATTGTTGTAATATCGTTCTGAACGATACTGTCTCTCAAAACTTTTCGAAACACGTCTTGGGTCTGTAAACTTTTTGCGCCTTGTCCTGTAATACTCCATCGGGTTTTCGCTTGCGCACCAAGAACGGCGTAGACGTAAACTTCGAGACTCTGTTGAAATAACCGTTGTCCGATTTTCGTCAATCCACGCGATGTTTTCGGAATGAATATTTTATAATCTTCCGTCACATTTTTCGGAAGTCTTTTCGTTAAGTATTCGTACACGATATATGTTCCGCCGTACCGCGTACGAACGTAATGTTGGTTTCGAATTCTCTGTCGCGTATCGGCAGGCAATCCATAATACCACGTTCCAAGATTAGCATGTGAAGATAATGTTCGACGTTCCCACGTTTCGGTCGTCGGCATGTATTTTTTCAAGACGTAAAGATCGTCTTCGCTTAAATAATGATCCAGTAATTTTGGATTTTTCATGAATTTTTCCGTCTGATAATGTACGTGAAATTTCACGATGGCCGTGATCAAATGTGAATTGGACAAGGTATTATTCAAATGGTTTTCAGAAATCCCGGATTTAAATGTTGCGACGTAACATGCTGCCAACGATCGAAAATAAGAATTCTGATGGTAGTCGAACGGGATTAAATTTACAAAATTTCCTGTTCCCGTGTACTCGGGTATCGTATATTCTAAGTCCACGGGAAAAGAATCTGTTTCTGAAACGTAAATAGGGAACGTATGAAAATTTACGGCAAAGTCTGGATTCGGACGGAATATCATATCGGATGCAACATTTCGCCATCCATCTTTCCAGTATAAATATTTGGTCCATTCCGGATTCTGTAAGAACGTCTCGGATGTAATATCATAACCTGATAATTCATCCACGTTAAATGAAATATCTGTCGAACTTAACGTTCCATCTTTTGCAAACGTCACGCTAAATTCAAACCTGGATATTGTGGCGTTCGGATATTTTTTAAGAAAATTAGTTTTGAGTTTCTGGATTTCTAAAGGATAAGCTTTTCGAACCTTCTCATAATTTTTTCCGTAATAGTCACGAAAAATCTGTTCTTCCTTTTCCATTTATTCTTAGACGATATAAAATTCTATCAAAATATTTCCAGGCATGATTCCGTCGACGTTAGATTTCACATCGAAATGAAGTTCGTGATAAATTCCTGCATCTGCCTGCACTTCACTTTCGATATCGTTATATTTGGTCGTTGTCCCGAATAAAGGTTTCGTTCCGTCGATGGGAAGTGACGACACGATATTGCTGGGATATCCGTCGGGATCTATATTTTGTGATCGGTTGACTAGATTACAACCGATCGTCACGTAACGTAATCCTTCGTGAATATCCACGGGATGTTGACCCGGATGTAATTCCGAAAATGTAGTATATCCTAACAGAAGACCGAGTTTCCACGGATTAAAAGATTTGATACTTTTTCCAAATCCGATCCGTATACGTCCGTCTGGAAAATCTTCGACGACGAGACCGTGACTCTCTAACTTTGACGTAATTGTTTAAACGTCCAGTATCCATTTTTCAACACCACTTTTTTCTTGTCGACGGAAAAATAATTATTGTCGCCTTTACGGATATTTTCGTACGTCCAAAACACAGCGGCTGTTTTCACGTAAAGTTTAGACGTGGGTGTTAGAACTAACGGTCTATGTAATTTGATCGTAGTTTCTCCGTCTCGAATAAAAACAGTTATCTTTTTCATTTTATTATAAATGGATTCTTTAGATCTTGGTTTACGCGAACTGTATTTTAACGTGAACGGTGGATACATGTCGATGGAAAAACTCTATCGGGATGCAGTGAAAAAAGGTATTCCTGGCGTCACGCGTGAAACAGTCAAGACGTGGTTGCAAACACAAAATACGTTCATCGTTCACAAACCGACGCGAGTTCATTTTAAAACGCAACGTACGTACGTCGACGGACTTGCCCAACAATTACAGTTGGATTTAGTAGATATGCAAACGTACAGTCGTGCGAATAAAGGTTTCAAATGGATTTTAACATCCATTGAAATTTTAAGCCGATACGCGTTTGCTGTTCCCGCCTACCGAAAAGGAGCGGAAGACATGGTACCGGCCGTCGAAAAAATCCTGGAACAATTTCGGGAAAGATTCGGACGATATCCAAAAGTCGTTCAGTTTGACGAAGGAAAAGAATTTTACAATAATGGGGTCAAGGGGTTATTGGAGAAACACGACATTCATTATTTTTCAATGCGACTGACTGGAAAAAAGCAGCAGTCGTCGAAAGATTTAACAGGACGTTAAAAACTAGAATGTGGAAATATTTCACCGAACAACAATTTACGACCAAATCTAAAAAATGGATTGACGTCTTGGATAATTTTGTCGCATCGTACAATCATTCGAAACATCGTACGATCGATATAAAACCTGCCGACGTCAACGAAACCAATAAAGATAAAGTCTGAACAAAACTTTACGGTTATCCGTTATCTCATTTTCCAAACCCAAAATTTAAAGTTGGAGATCGTGTCCGAGATCAAATCTATCGCGACACTTTTGTGAAAGGATACACGCCGAATTATACCGACGATGTTTACGTCGTGTCGGAAGTGTTTCGTGGTGATCCCACCATGTATAAACTCATCGATCCCGACGATAACGATCGTGAAATTCAAGGAAGATTTTACGAACATGAATTATCGTTGGATCTAAGTGGTAAATAAACTATGGCCGAATATATCGAACTCGATGAGATCGGACAGGATTATGATTGGGATCCCTGGGAAGAAAATGACGAAACTAATTTGAACGATGACTTTTACGAAACGGCATTGGACGATCTGGAAAGACAGGACGATGAAAAATGGCTGTCGGATTTTAAGAAACAAAATGAAAATGATAAGGCTACAAAAAGAAAGAGGGAAACCAATTCATTGTATACGACCGGATCTTCTACAAGTCTGAAATCTGAATACGTGAAAAAACTTTTTGGGAACGACTATCAATTAAACCCGAACGACGGATTAAATTCCAGGGACTTCTTTTCCCGACTGGATGTTGACGGATATTGGTTAACGTTCGACGATGTTAGAGTAGCTTTCATCGATAGAAGTAGAAAATACTTTTTATCTAAAAATACATCCAACGTTCAGAGTCTAAAAGATTTTAGAACCGCATTCGAAAGAGCGACGGAAGAACATCAGAATAAATTCGTCAGTATCACAGAAGAAGAAATTCCAGATGGAAATCCATCGGTCCTCGATGATATTTCTAACGACGTGCGTGATGAAATTCACAATGAAAATATCGACGATAATCTTGAATTTCACGATCGCGTCTTACAATTTCATCGTGATAGGAAATTGACTGAACAGGAAGCTAGGGAATTGGTTGGAATTACCGTTCCCAAAGGTGAACCTAATGAACGGATCAAATATTTAAAAATAGAACGTCAAAAACTTAAAATAGATTTTGAAACCGAATCCGATCCCGAACGTCAAGATATTTTTCGCGAAGCGTTAGAGATCGTCGATCAGAATATCGACGATGCGAAATTAGAAATGTGGGATCGTCCCGAATCTGAAGAAGGCGTGCATCGGATTCGTGAAAAAGTTCGCGAGGATACACGGACGAGATTTGAAAAATTTAAAGTCTGGGCCAGGAAAAATTTAGGAGTTTTATCTGCGATCGCCATTTCCATCGCGGGGATTATTACGACTGTCGTTGTCGCTGGAAAAAAGACGTTGGTCGGTGCTGCGAAAGGGGTGGGTGAAGTTGGAAAAGCATTAGGTAAGATCGCCAAAGCCGCACTTCCCGTTCTCGTTCCCATCTTGAATATGTTAGCTACCATTCTTACATGGGGTGCAAAAGGAATAGAATTTCTTGCGAAAAATCTATGGATTCTTGCCATCCTGATCGCCGGGTATTTGTACAATTATTTGAAGAAAAAATAAAATTTTTATTTCATTTCCATGAAATAAAAGAATGGAAACACGTACGCAAGAACTTAATCCTAGTTTTAGCCGTCGATCCAGGACGGAGGTAACAGGAAACCGAACGAGACATTTGATCACGTTCAATCCAAATTCGGCGAAACCCGGCGAAGAAGTCTATGTGAATATTCCTAAACTCAAACCGGATTCTGTTCTCGTTCCCGATAGTATGGCTTTAATCTTCGACTTTAAAAATGCCAATGAAAAATCATGGTTCCGGAATAATTTAGGAAAATTATTACAAAAAAGATTAGAGATTCGTCTTGCCGGTGAAAAAGTTTACGATAACAGCGGTGAAAGTGTACTGGAAATTTACAAAGACTTGTGGATGGATGAAAAACAACGCGCGGATATGATTCAAGATGGAATTACGACCGAAGCCGTTCGTAAGAAAATCTCCAAAGACGATGAGGCGAATGTCGACGCCGATGCTACTGCACTTTTTGGAATTTTCGGGACGAAACAACGATTGGAAATTACGAAGATTTTAGGTGATCATGGATTGTACGCTCCGTATCATTCTGCCAACGATCTTCAGTACGTGATCACGTTACCACAAGCATCTGAAATTATGAACGCACAAACTAGTGAAACCGTCGATGGATATTCTTTGGAAAATTTAGAATTGGAATATGAAAGTATCGAAAATATCAATCTCGCCCGAAAATCTGAAAATCTATACGGAGCCGAACGCGAGTTATCTTTCGAACATGCGACGTTGATGAAAAAGACCGAATGGGATAAAAATCTGACGATCGTTAACGAAACCGTCAATCTTCCACGACGCAGTATGAAAGCCATCGTCATGCTTTTCACGGAAAAAACACCGACCGATAGCGAAGAATATATCTTCCCCAATATCGATAAAGTGAAAGTAACGATCGAAGGTGTTCCAAACGTTGTGTACAGTCAGGGGATGACGAAGACGAGAATGTACGAAGAAGCCAAGCGTCTTTTTGGAACCGACGCGAACGGACAACAATCTCTGATTAAATTTTACAAGGATAAGAAATTTGCATTGGTCATCGACTTAAGTACGGCGAACGATGCCAAGACGTATGGAAACGGAGTGAAAATCCAAAATACTCAATCTGGAATTTTAATCGAAGTCACGAAGAAAGCAACGACTGCCAACATCATCTGTTACACGTTCGTTCTTTCAGACGGTGTAATTAAAATGGTCCACGGGCAACTGAGTGGTGTGCGATATTAACTTCTAGTCGCGAATCACGACTACATCTTTTTCATATTTTTTTCTGGAAATATGAAAAAGCTTCCCTATTCCATTTTCACGTCATCCTCCTCTTTCACGTCTTTCGTTCCTTTCCTTCCGTACACATGTTTTACTGTCGTCACGCCACCACTTAAAATTCCCAGGTATGGAATGTACGGCGATATTTTTTCCACGATACTTTTCACGTCGCTTTTTAATAATTTGTCTTGATTTAATTCTCCTTTTAATTCTTCACCGCTATCGACCATACGAAGATTTTCTAGTAATCCCGAAAATTTTTCGATCAATGTTTCCGTAAGCAAAACGTTTGCCTTTTCACGCTGATTGACGATGTATTCCCGCTTGATTTTAAAGATGACTTTTGGCGTTGCCTTTTTCAAATAATTCTCGGACTGATTAATCTCACCTGCGTTCGATAACCGAATTAATTCGGCTCGCGTATCTTCAAATATTTCTTGTTCCGTCCTTTCATGTGTCGTATTCTCTTCTCCTTCCATTTCTACTTGTATTTTATTTCATAACGATATGGAAAAACCATTTCAACATCAAGATGCGAATACTTATTTTGTTTTAATTCCTCAAAAATTTCGTCACCTAATTTCGTACATTTCGAACGAAGACATTCCCCTAAGATCGTCCTCGAATCATCAACATCCGAAGTATAAAACGTCACTAATTTCGAGACGTTCTTACGATATGGTTTGGCGGTCGATGTGAGCTGCTGCGTAATCACGATCGTTGATATTCGATCGTGTCTTCCACTAAATCCAAGTCTCACCAATTCTCCCGTACGATCCTTGACGAATTTCGTACTCGCACAATCGTCCATGATAATCAACGTATCTTTTCCCGATGCATAATTCGCAACGTATTTCAACTCGGATTCGACGTCATCCTGATCACATGGAATCACGAAAAAATTAGGATCGTCGAAGATAAAATCTTGATCGTACGTTTTATTTCGATGGTACGTCGGACAGATTAAAAAGATTTCAGAAAATTTACGAAAATACGTCGTCTTCAATTCTTCGATCAGATAATGAGTTTTCCCACATTTTGTCATTCCCACGATAATCATATGAAACGGTTCCATTTAATTAAAAGATGGGATGTCTTTCTTCAAAATCCGACGAAACTCGGAAGCGAAATAAAAACCACAAGAGACGAAAAATGTTTAGTTTAGCTTTCGGGTTCGATCGTGGGGATGCAACGACAAGTATTCATACACAGATTGGATACGTCAGTACGACGGTTAAAAAATACGATGGAATAAATGAAATTATTCCTATGGAGAATCTTAATCTGGACGAGTCTAATCAGTTGTCT